AGGATGTACTTTTCCTAGCCCACAGAGATCCGGCCCCGAAGCCGGCGAATTCGACGACCGATGCATCCCACACCCTCCGAGTCCACAGCCCTCAGCTTACCGAAAACGAAACGCCAGGTGAAGGCCCTAAGCCGATCCCCCCCACACTGTCGGCCAGAAGGTCCCGAGGGAAAATCTGGAACGAGCCGGTGAGATACTCGGCCAAAGGTTGGCGCTGCGGGCGGAGATTCCCTGAAATCGATCTCCCAGCTGCGGCGCCTGTCGTTCTCCGCTGCTCGGCCCTGGCTTGGCCGCGAGGAGCGACCGAACTGTTTCCCCCGTCCCCCGTCGAGATCACGGATTCGCAACCGTCGCAAAACTCGCTGTCTTGCACGGCCGACCTCCAGCCGCCCCGGCGCACCGCCAGGTGGCACCTTTAATTAAAAGAAAGGTTGCTGGAGGGACTCGCCGAACTGGCCAGAACATGCATCCGTCCGTCCGAATAATTAGCTGAGCGGAACCCACCGGCGCCCCTCCCCCTTGACGACTGCCCCAACCCCCCCTCGCACACTCTGAGACGTAAAACAAATCGAAGGACGACGCCTTGAGCTACGCGAGAGCACGCTGAAGAGAACGAGATTCACAACAAACGCTGTCAGAGAACTGGCTCATCGAGCACATCGTGGGACTCACTCCGCGGGCGGTGCGGTCTCCGGCGACTGCAGGGACTGCCGCGCGAGCAACTCCCACTCGGGGCCCGCGCCGAAGCCCGACTAATCCTTGGCCAAGAGCATCTCTAGAGCACGGCAACGCTGTTGAATTGCCGCGTTCTGCTGCTCGATGGCCCCCTTTCAGTTCTGCCGGCGTCTCCTCGATCCCCTTGCAGGACCTCGCTGGGCGGCCTGTCTGACGTTGGCGGGCCCCCCTCTCCGCCTGCGCCAGCTCGCCCACCTCCGTCGGCACGCAGCGCGACTTCAACGCCGCCGGGCGGGTCATCTTCGGCACCGCGGGGACCCTCGACGCGTCGACCTTGGTGAGCTTCTGCGTCAGCTGGCTCTCGTCGTCCTGGCTCTTCCGGCGCCGGCGGGGGGCCGGCGCAGCTGTGCCACCTGCCCCGCCGGGGTCGCCGCCCGAGCCCCATGTCTGGGTCGTCCTTGGCGGCCTGGACCTGGATCTTCGGCAAGCTCCAGCGCGCCGGGCGGAGGTCGCCATCGAGGCGCTTGATCCACTTCGCGCAGGCGTTGGCCCCCGCTCGCCGCCTCGTCGGATCGCGGCGGCACTGCGTCATCTCGGACGCGAAGTGGCGCCGGCGGCGGGGGGTCGCCTCCGGCCACGGCCTGCCGCGACGGAACATCTCCAGGAGCGACATCCCGAGACATCCTCTGCCCTGAGGACCAGGGAGACCACGCCAACCCAGCGCAGTTCCTTCGTGGACACGTCCACAAGCGCCGCTGCGACGGTCAACGCGCAGTGTCGCGGATCCCCCATGGCGCTCGCCCGGGCGATGCCGATCTGTGGGCTGGATGGGAGTCGGGAAAGAATGGTTCACACTATCGCTGGAAGACAAGCCTGGGCGAAACGGAAATGTCTCCGACCGAATGGGAAGCGCAGCGGGTGTCAGGAGTGTCTGACGCATCGGAGCGCTCTTGCGTAATTGTTCGAGCCTCGCCCGGCCGCGTCGTCTCCGTTCCCCCTTCTTCCGTTCTGCTGCGGTCCCCGCTTTGAATTTCTGTGCCTGTGCTTCCAGCGCTGCGTGCTGGAGGAGCTGGGCGGGCTGGAAGGTTTGCTTCTGGAGGCCCCGCGTTTTCCAAACGGTGAACTGGATAAGCTGAGCATGCTGGAGGTCCTCTTTCTGGAGGCCCTGCGGGAGCTTGATGGGCCGGACTGGTCGCCGGGCCTGTTTCCGCTGCATCGGGGGGGGGGGGGGCTGAGCAAGCCGCGCGCCCTCCTGGAGTTCCCGGCCGATCTTGATCGAGCGAAAACGAATCAGGTGACCCCCGGGCCTGCGCTCGAACACGGGGCCCGACCATTTCCCCCCGATTCCCCCGCGCGCAGCCCCGCCGCCGCCGACGCCGTCGCCGCTGGAGCCCTTGCACTGTGGCCTGGGCAACGGAAAATCTAAACGAGATAGTCCGCGCGCGCTGGCTACTGAGGCCGGCAACTGAAACTCGCTCGGCGAAGGCAGCTCGTCGATGCGCACGGCGCGACGACACGGGGGAAGCCCCCTGAGCTGGGTCGTCGCACCGGAGTGCTTGACTTCAATCGACTCTTCTGGTAGATCGACTCTGGCTCGTAAAGGGTTCTGCGCGCCCTCCGGCATCAAAGCTGGAACCTCCTCACTTATCGCGTCGAGCTCCTTGGTGCCGTTGCGGCCTTCGATTCCCGCGGGCATGAGGAGTCCTGCGAGGGCCGCGGCGTGGCCCCCGACCCCCCGGGCCGAACGGTTGAAACTGGGGAGCCTGGGAACCCGATATCCTAAAGCCGCGAGGCGACCATCGAGCTTCTGCAAAGATGCAGGACCAAACAGACCCTGCCCAGCGGTGGCATCAACTGTGATCCCGCCTCCGTCGGCGATCAGGAAGGACACAGGGGGTCGCTGAACCTGCCGGTCGCGGTCTCGACCCTTTCCATCAGGTCAGCGATCGGGTCGCGCGAGAAAGCGATCATCAGCACACGGCCGGACGAGACGCCACCGTTGGTCAGCGCAAAACCGCTAAGCTGCTTTCGGCCGTCCGTCGCCTGAAAGCTGGGGCACTCTCGGGCCCAGTGGCCCTTTTGTCGGCACTCGTGGCACTTCGTGACCTTCGTGAACTGCTGAGAACTGAGCCCTGCTTCCCAAATGCGCCGCTGTCCGCCTGCCCTCGACGCTCTCGTCGCCGGCCTCGCTCTCGGGTGCCGCTCAAAGAAGCCGTCGGGAAGAAGCGCCCGTCCACCCTCAAGCATCGCTAGTAGTCCTTGTCATCCTTCTTCTCCTCCGCCGACAGCTCTGCTAAGACCGTCGATGCCTCCAGCTGCGCGCGATCTGCCTGATCGATCGCCATGAGAATGTGGTTCTCCTGCTCTGAATTCAGGGACAAGGTGCTCTGGCAATCTTCATCGTCGTCGCCGCAATGCACGAGGGCCGGAGAAGGTGGCACGCCCTCGCCCTCAAGAAAGGTCTGCTTGCCGCCGGACCCCTGTGCTGGCATCTCATTCCGGATTATATCCATCTCGCGCACCGCCTGGAAGAGATCCGCGTACTCGCCCGTGTTCCCACTGAGTATATTGATCATCTGGCGCCCTGAATCGTCGAGACCGACTCCTGCCTCGATGAAGAGGTGGCGCCACCTGCTGCTGAGGTCGAGCCCTTGCGCTGCCAGCTGGTCGTAGACCTGGTCCAGGCGCGCTGCGTAGATGCTCATGGACTCGCCCTGTCGCCGCTGGAAGCCGCACAAGCACTCTCGGCCTGTCCCACGCATTTCGTCGTCCTGGCGCTGGCCACTGAGGACGTCCAGCCGCTTCAGGATAGCTTCGGGCCCCGCCGCCGATACAAGGACCAAGTCTGGGATGTCCTCGATTTTTCCTCAAGCCGAGGTCCAGAACCTTGAGTATGCGGTCTGAGCGGCGATTCGCCGCAACCCCTGGGCCGGCAAACCATCGCTGCATACCCCTCCGCCAGAGACGATACTCGCCCCAGTCGAGCCAGGAATCTGGGTCGGACATGTCCGGTCGTTCCCGAGAACTTTGGCTCCACGAAGCGCCCGCCCAGGCAGGACTGGCACCCCACGACTTGTCGTTCGCGCTCTTCGCCCAATCGGCGTTGGCGCTCCACCTGCTATCACCCTGGCTCGGGTCCGCGGGAGCCGCGGAGTCCCACCACACGTCGCCGGAAGCTGCCCGCCAGCCTAATGCGTCCCATCGCGTACTGCTCCTCGGCCTCCGCCTTGACCATTGCTGCATCCCTGCCATGGGTCAATCTTCTCCCACGGGTCGGATGCGTCGCTGTCTGCTGCTGCACCGTGAGCGTGTCGAGCCGCACCTTCTGATCCTGCACTCACGGCTTGCTTCGCCGCCTCATTGATCTGTTCTCGGAACATCCGAGACAACTCCTGCATCTGCTGTTCTGTGAATCCTCCTGCGGCGCTGGGCGCTGCTGCATCTTGGGCCTGTCGGCCCTCCATCTCCATCGTCGTCTCGTAGCTGTCGTCCGTAATTTTCTTGCCACTGCTGTCCGCCGGCATGGCGGCGGGAACTGGAGGCCCGGTGGAGCGACCAGAAGCTCCGCTACCACTGACGCGTCAGGGACGGTCAGGTGGCGAAAAAGGGAGACATCTCTTTTCGCGAGACATGGTATCAGAAGGTGCCTGGCACAAAACAGCAGCGGGTGTGCACACGCACGCGTGCAAACACATTTGTGAAATATACCATCCACAAAGATACGATTAAGCTCAAAAGGTTCATATTCCCACAGCTGTTACTATTGCCTGCCATTGGCGGGCGATATGAACGTTGTGGGCCCACAAACGGTGCGAGTGGTGTCCTTACTCAAACAGATTACGGCTAGATGTTCCCAACGCGCAAGATATCCGCAACACCTGCCACAGCTGATGCGCCGTGCAACGCTTATACCGTTTGTATGGTCGGGGCCTGACGAGACGGGATACCCAGGGGACACCGGAACTTTGGACCTGGTGGCCGCGGTACGCAGGGCTGGCGGACGAGGCGGGAGACGCAGGCACCATCGGGACGACCGAGGGCTCGCGTGCCGAGGAGGGAGACTCATGCCGCCTCTTCGTGTGCACACTCCTCGGTTAACCCCTTTGCTGATCACGCTGGCAATTATGACGGACAAATCGGTACGATCCCAACAACACATGCTGTCCAAAACCAGCACCAGGACGTCTGAGCTCGCGCGTCGTCCCGATGGGGGACACACGTAGTAGAAGTATGTTTGGGTGACGACGCCGACAGGAGTGCGGCGAGGAGCACGGAGGGAACGCACGGGCAAGAAACCGAGCGCCTTAAGCAACGTCGCTCTCTCCTCAACCGTCTTCTCCAGTTTCTTCATCTGGCTGTCGGAGAACTCGAGCTTCTTGTTCAGGTGCGTGATCATGTCCTCCGCTGCCTCGGGGCGCATCCAAATTATATAGCTGAGAATAGACGCCAAGACATGTGCACGTGTTGTTCGCCGTTCACGTGCCTTCGAACGAATTATAGGTTGTAAGGTCTACTGTGAAAACACATTCATATGTACACTAACGAACGACTGACTGTGGCATGCCCGAGCAAGAAGAAACTGCATCGGATGCGCCGCGAACGTGATCAAGCAGCGTGAGTGGGTGAGAACTGGGTATCGCGACTGGCGCGAACCAAAAGAGAAAATCACGCGATACGCACCACTTTCAGACACGCGTCCTGGGCTTAGGAGTTCGCGTGGAGCTGCAACGTCCAGGACACGCAGGCTGGGGCATCGATGCGCGCGTGCCGCTCCTAGCGCGGATCCGTGGCCGGAGGCCTGCGCTGGGGCGTGCATCGCCCGTCCGCCACTGTGCCCCCTGGCGCGCTGAGGCGTGGCAGAGTGCCATGCAGGTGCTTGCTGTCTGGCGGGGTTGTCATGAATCTGTCGCCGCGCTGCTTATGCTCGACGCGCCCAGGTGGACGACGGGGGGGGGGGAGAGGTGGGGGGGGGAGGGGGGGGCGGGGAAGGGGGGGAGGCAAGCTAGGTGCGCTCGCGTCATATCTGACGTCCTACCCCTCCCTCCCATCCCTTACCATGGCGCTGATTTTCTCTATCCGCGGACGCGTGTCGTAGCGGACTTGTGGCTCCGCGCGCGCGTGCGTAGTGGGTGGTGGTGCGCGTGCGTGCGTGCGTGCGTGCGTGCGTGTGTGGTTGTAGTGGTGGTGGTGGTGGTGGTGGTGGTGGTGGTGGTGGTGGTGGTGGTGGTGGTGGTGGTGGTGGTGGTGGTGGTGGTGGTTGTGGTGGTGGTGGTGATGGTGGTGCTGCTGGTGGTGGTGCTGGTGGTGGTTGTGGTGGTGGTGGTGGTGGTGGTGGTGGTGGTGGTGGTGGTGGTGGTGCGGCGCGGTGGTGGCGGGCGGATGGGCGCGCGAGAAAGAGGCCCGCGCTGGGGCGAGAACGCCATCCTGAACGACGGAGGCCAAACACCGATCCGAAAATAAGGCCCACGCTGCAGCGGGAGCACGATTCGGAACGATTCGGGAGCAGAAATGAGGCCGGCGCCTCAGCGAGAGCAGCATTTTGAAAAAAAACACAAGCGAAAACCCGTTTCCCGGGAATCCTGTGTGTAAAAAACAATACGCGGGGGGGTGTCGGATATCTTCGGGACGCCATCAGGGGAAGAGGGAGAGTATTTTCATATTGTGCAATTGTGGAGGGGAGGGTGGGGGGGGAGGGGGGAGGGGGGGAGGGGGCACATCCGCGGCGAACCGACGGTAAGCCCTGCACCCGAGGCGGAGTTTGCTCAGGTGGCCGAGGCGCCCTTCCCAGGACGCGAGCCGAGCGTCGGAACAAACGGGCGAAGCGACGTCTGCCCCCCCCGGCCCCCGCCCTCCTCTCCTCGCGCCTGCCTGCGTGCACCGCGCCAGACCCTTCGGAGGCTGGCTGCGCGGCGCGTTGCCTTCCTGAATCTTCAATGCTTCCAAGATCATTCCGTTCGACTGGATGACCCAACACTGCTTGAAGAAGCAACGCGCAGCCCCCAAGAAGACCCCAACAGGCGCCAAAAGGCAATTCAGAAACAGATGACAACTCATAAACACATGGGCATGTCACTTAGGTGATATCCGTGCACCTCTCAGCTCAAGACAATTCCAAGGTCCTCAGTCGGAAGAGCCAACGAAGCCAAAAGAGCACAGTGAGCGCCTTCAGAAGCCTCCTGGACGGCCCACTAATAGCCCCATGAGTGCCCCAAGACGGCCCGAAAGGACCCAGGACAGCTAAGAGGACTACAGTATGGCCCCAGACGGCCGAGAGGGGCCCAAGGCGGCGCTAAGGCGGCCCAAGGCAGCCCCAAGAGAGCTCCAAGAGGGCCCCGAGAAGACTGCACAAGAGCCCAATACAGCCCAAGACGGCCCAGGTGGCCCACGAGAGCCCCTCAAAGAATAGGGTCGAGAAGTGTTACGTGTTCCGTCCTTCCGTCGACTTCCATCGCCGTACTGGGTGCTGCCCTGGCGCGGTGGCGGGACTTGCCGCGGGCAGCTGTACACCAAGGCGGGGGAGGGGGAGGACAGGAGGAAGAAGGGGAAATGACCTGACATCTTGCAGGCGAGGCGTGAACAGGCGCCACCAAGGTACCCCGTGACTCCGAGCTACGATTCTCCATAGGATGTCTCGCGGCTCTGCGCAGATACCCTCTGCAGACCTGTCGCGGACGGGAAGGACTCGAGGCCATTTACACCCACTCGTCAACGGTGATTTGGTCCAGGGCATCGACCCTCCGCTGGCATGCCCCCCGCACGCTGTGTGCAGAGTGCCTGTTGGCGGTCAGTCTTCTGCAGTTCTCGTACTGTCAGACAAACCCTGTCAGGAAGACCCCCTCTCGCGGCGCTCCCGTTCAGACACCCAGCTTCCTGAGTTTTCCTCTCAGGCGCTCTTAGCGGCCCGAAGACGGCACAAGACCGCAAGAGGGCTGACTGCAAGATGCCACAAGACCAGCCCGCGATTGGGGGACGCAGCATCGGGATGCAAATCAAACCATACTTTGCCACGGGATGCTGCCGCCTCGGAGATTGCCGTAGTCTTTGACAGCCAAGCTGACTTCGTTGCCAGTACGAGAAGTGTCGAGATCCCGTGCGACAGCTTCTGCACATGCCATCAAGGTGATCAGACACGTTGTTCTTCAACTATTCACGCGCTTTATTTGCTCCCACTTCACCACCTCAACAGCACCGTAGGCAGAGCTGGGTTTTTCCGTTTCTGCCCACCGCCCACGATGGACAGCAGAAGAAGCTCAACCCATGGCGTCATGCAAGACGCCCTCTGCCTGCTGTCAGCCCGGCGTGGCCAAGCGCAGCAAATCCCCTGGGAGCTTTAGAGTGTTGGGAGGCCTTGAGCACTCAGAGTGAAGTCGCGACCGAACTTTGGATGGCTGGGAGCACCGGGGCCCACCCAGCGCGGCTCTCTTCGCGCCATCGCTTCCCCGCGCCGCCCCCGTGGAGCAGGGCAGCCGGCTGTAGCCCAAACCGCAACGCGCGAAGCGCGAGCATGCTCGGGCCCCCGCGGGCGCCCCGTAAAACACCCGTGCCGCTAGTCGCTCCACGTGGAGGGTGCACGGTCTGCCCCATTTCCCTAAGGGCTTGTCGACTTCTTGCCAATCGACTCGTGGGGATCGAGCCAGATGACCCAGGCAAATCCAGCTCAATCGAGATAAATCCAGGTAAATCGAGATACATATGGGTGAATTCAGTTCAATCCAGAGATTTAACGGGCGAAGAACGGTGTAAAATAAACTTTTTCGCTGTCGGGGGCGCCTGTCCCAGGGCGGCTGGGAAGTTTATACCCTTACGGTGGCACCGTAGGGGTATAAACTTTCCAGCCGCCCAGGGGCAGGTGTCCCCGACGGCGAAAAGGTTTATTTAATACCGTTTTTCGCCCGTTAAGTTCAATCCAAAGATCTCCAGAGAAAATCGGAGCAACTCGCGGCCGCTCCAGCGCGCGTCGAAGGACGGCAGAAGTCGTTAAGCCTTCCACGACCCTTCGGGCGGGGGCCGCAGCACGCCTGCAGGAGCTCCGCCCGGGACTCGGCCAGGCTCTCCTGCCGGCGCGCCTGGGCGTCGGTGGACTCCAGCCGGTCGGAGAGGTCCACGATCTGATCTTCGGCCGCCCTGGGGCGAAGGGAGAATCGGGCGAGAGGGGGGGGGGGGCCGAGAAGAGGGCGGTGGCGCAGCATGGCCCGGGGGCATGCGCGCGGACGACGGGGGTCAAATTGCGTGAAACGTCTCGAAACAAGAAGAGGGGTCTTTGAAGGGGCCCTGGGACACACAAGAAAATACACACAAATAAAAGGATTCCCCATATTTTCCCATATTTTTCTGAGTTGTTGTCTTCCCCCGCACTTCCCATATTTTCCCATATTTTCCTGGGGGTCGACGATGAATTGTGTCTGTGCTTTTTTCCCTCCTGAGTCTTATCGCATCTGGGGACGCCCGGAAAGCCCGCAGAGCCACACGACGGTGCACACAGCCCGCTTCGCAGGCGTCTCCAGTGGTCCAAGAGATATTCCAGGAGTGTCCCAAACAGCTCCAGATGGACTCCAAGACGTTTCCCACACGACCAAGATTGCTCAAAGGTGGTCCCAAGAGGATTTTCCAGTAGGAGATGCGCCCAAAGAGGATCCCAAGACGACCCGAGACGTCCCAAGAGAGCCCCAAGCCGGCCCCAAATGGCCCCAAGGACCCCCAAGCTGGCCCAGAGAGGCCTCCAAGACGGCCTCCGAAGGCGGACCACGAGCGCTCCCCTAAGGTGGACCAAGAGATCCCCAGGATGCCCCTAAGAAGGCTCACGAGACCAGAGAAGAGCCTCCAAGACAGCCCAACGACGGTCCCAGAAGGCCACTCCCCCCAATGCTCCTCAAAAGGCTTCACCAATAGCTAGGGGAACAAACAGTCCACTAGCGTAACCGCACTTTCGCTTGACATTTCGCAGCACAGGCGGTTTCTTCAAAAGGCAGGGGGCGGCAATGACTCGCATGATGCGTCTTCGAAATCTGCTATGCTCTAAACATCCATGCGTTGCCACGACATGATACGCTCTGCCCTGATCATGGCATGCTACGCGATATGACGTGCAGCGATGAGATGCGATGAAATGCTATGACAGATATGCTACGGCATGCTCATGCTTCTTGGGATTCGCGCGACAAGACGGGGCCGATTGTGAAGAAGCTGGCCGCAAAAACCAAGACACGATCGCCGGCCCTTTGCACAACACAAGCAGGAACTCTTCCCTTCGGCACAGTTTAATCCAGCAGGCTCCACATGCTCCCTCCATCGCCCACCGCCGCCAAGCCAATGCCGCTGATGCACGCTGGCGAAGAGAGAGAGAGAGAGAGAGAGAGAGAAAGAAAGAAAGAAAGAAAGAAAGAACGCACGTGAGAGACTGGTGCGCTGTAGGCCGCTCGATTCCCTGGGTCGGAGGGGTCGCAATCACCTGGACGACCAAAACTGACAAGCAGAGGCAAGGAAACCGAGGCGAGGCGAGGCGAGGCGCCGGTCAGTCGTCCCGGCGGGGACGGCCCCACGAGAGCCCGGCGGTGGCGCCGGAGCTCCGAGGAGCCGGCCCTTTGGGAAGGAGCTGCAGAAGGGGTATACACCATGTCGTGGCATCGCTCGGACGTGTGCATTTTTCCTTCGGCGAGGACCATCGAGGAGCATCCTTGATCATTTCGCGAAACAACCACGCACGAAGCCGAAATAAGCACAGGAAATGGACGTCCGAGCGATGGCCAGATGTACCTAGCAGAGGAGCAGGCGTGGTGCGCAACGGGATTTTAGAAACGACTCGCAGCCACAGCCAGAAAAGTCCACGCTGGCAAGTGCCCCGGGCAGCGGGGGCACAGGAGGGCGGAGCAAGAGTGGTTATCTCGGCCACTCATCTCCCTCGCCATCGCTCGGACGTCCATTCCCTGTGTTTTTTGTTCGGTTTCGTGCGTGGTTTTTTCGCCAACTGATCAAGGATGCTCCTCGATGGTCCTCGCCGAAGGAAAAATGCACACGTCCGAGCGATGCCAAGCTCCTCACCTTACCTCTCCACCCGCTCCTGACCCCTCTCTGCTCCCATGAACCTCTGCGCCGCCCCCCATGCGTTCTTTTCCGTTGCCGGTCCTCTTCAGTTCCCCCTCACATGCAATTCGTCCCCCATGTCCCGTCGCCACGATCGTCCCTCCCCCAGTGGGCTTCTCATCATCCTGTTCTCCCCCTCCTCTCTAACGTCTTCCCCCTGCGCCTCGTCCGTCTTCTCTTCCCGCTCCCCTCCCCCCCCTCCCCCCTCTGACGGCATACAAGTGGTGTAACGCCAGGCCGAGTCCAAAACGTCCGCCCCATAATCCCTCCCCTTCCCCTCCGTCACGCCATACTCCCCAATGGCGCGGGGGAAGAATCGTTGACGGCAGAGGTAGGAAGGGGGGCGGCCTCAGCAGATCGCTCCGCTCCTCGGCGAGCTTCTCCAAGCCTCTCTGGCCGGCGGAGTGGCGCGAGGAGGCAGAGGCGACGGGGGGAGAGAAGGAGGAGGTAGAGGGGGGACGGGGGGACCAGGAGGAGGGGGAGCAGGAGGAGCGGCAGCAAAAGGACCGCCACGACAACGAGGACGACGAGGAGGCGAAGGGCAGCTCAGGACCCCTCCCCCACCTCGGCCCCGGCTCCGGCCCCGGCCCCTGCCCCGCGCCCGGTCCCAACCTGGGTCCCAGCTGGCCCCGTCCCAAGCCCCAGCCCTGGCCCTGGCTTCGGTTTCGGCGACGGCCCCAGCCCCCGCCCGTCCCCGAGGAGGCATGCAGACGGCTCTCATCCGCCTCCTCCTCCTCCTCCTCTTCCTCCTCCTCTTCCTCCTCCTCTTCCTCTTCTTCCTCCTCCTCCTCCTCCTCCTCCTCCTCCTCCTCCTTTACCTCCTCCCCCTCGCACCTCCTCCTCCTCCTCCTCCTCCTCCTCCTCCTCCTCCCTCCTCCTCCTCCTCCTATCCTTCTCCTCCTCCTCCCCCTCCTCTTCCTCCTCCTCCTCCTCCTCCTCCTCCACCTCCTTCTCCTCCTCCTCATCATCCTCCTCCGTCTCCTCCTCCTCTTCCTCCTCCTGCCCATCTCACTCCCCCTGTCCTGCACCCTCCTCCTTCGCCTCCACCTCCGCCTCCTCCTCCGCCTACTCTTCTTCCTTCTCCTCTTCCTCCCTCCACCGCCCGCCCCATGTCACGACCCTGTGGCAGGGTCATCAGTTCGTCGATGTCGTTGTCGTCGTGGTCGTGGTCGTGGTCGTGGTGGTGGTCGTGGTCGTGGTGGTGGTCGTCGTCGTCGTCCTTCTGGGTCGGCGCCACTGGCCGTAAGGCATTCACAATAGGACGATACTGATATCAAGATGCGATGGGCTCATGATATCTCGAAGAAGATACCAGCCCGCGCTTCTGCAGCCCGTGCTGAAAGTTCGGACATCATGGAAATTCTGAAATTTTGGAAACCTTGAATTACATCATCATCGCCACCACCACCACCACCACCATCATCATCAGTATCATCATCATCATCATCATCACCATCATCATCATTGTGGTCCTCCTCCTCCTCATCATCATCAGCAGCTTCATCACCATCATCAGCAGCATCATGTTCATCATCATCAGCATCAGCAGCAACAGCAGCAACAGCACCAGCATCATCATCATTATCATGAGCAGCATCATCATAGTCATCATCATTAGCATCATCAGTATCATCATCACCATCAACATCACCATCACCATCAGCATCATCAACAACATTATCACCAACGCCTTCGCCATCGCCACTATCACCATCATCACCATCATCACCACCATCACCATAACTCGCATCGTCAGCAGCATCATCATCATCATCACCAGCAGCAGCATCATCGCCACCATCACCATCAGCATCAGCATCAGCATCACCAGCACCGGCACCAGCACCAACACCATCACCACCAGCACCACTACCGCCATCACAACCACCACAATCACCAGCACCATCACAACCACCATCATCACCACCACCATCATCATCAGCATCATCAGCATCAGCATCATCAGCGTCAGCGTCAGCATCATCATCATCATCATCATCATCATCATCATCATCATCATCATCATCATCAGCATCAGCATCAGCATCAGCATCAGCATCATCATCATGATCAGCATCAGCATCAGCATCAGCATCAGCATCAGCGTCAGCATCAGCATCAGCATCATCATCATCATCATCATCATCATCATCATCATCATCATCAGCATCATCATCATCATCATCATCATCATCATCATCATCATCAGCGCCGCCACGTTTCCATGACCGACTGGTGACCGACTGCTCCTCTGCAGCAGCGGCGCACCCGCCCCCGGGCATGCAGCCTCTGGCGCGCTCGTCGGAGGACTCCAGCCTGCCCCGCGAAGGGCGGCCGCGCGGGCTCGGGGCGGCCGGACCGACCGACCGCCGCGCGCGCACGAGTGCGGGGGCCCTGCGCCACCGCTTGAGGACTCGAAGGCGCACGGGCCTCCTCAAGGGGCGCGCTTCTTGCACACAGCCCCTACAACACAAGCTGGCCCGGCATACGTCCGCGGAGCGGGGGTCGTGTGCCAAAGCGCCATCCCCTGGGGACACGACGTTTGAGCATCAGCTCCGCATACAGGCTGGTCCGGCACAGGGTCCGCGGGCAGGGGCGGTGGCCATGCATCGGCCCCCGATCCTCGGGACGTGGAGCAAAGGGAGCGAACACGCGACTGCTCAATTTCGGTGCTCGAGTACAGGCCTGGCACTGCCAGAAGCAACGCCAAAGAAGTAACGAAGGGGCGTTCCTGGCCACGACGGGCCTCGTGGTGGCCATACATCGGCCCCCGATCCTCGGGACGTGGAGCAAAGGGAGCGAACACGCGACTGCTCAATTTCAGTGCTCGAGTACATGCCTGGCACTGCCAGAAGCAACGCCCAATAAATAACGAAGGGGCGTTCCTGGCCACGACGGGCCTCGTCCACGGATCGGTTCCCCGACCTAAGTCTAAGGAACGGCCCAACAACCCGAGCCCCTCTTGAGACAAGAGTGGTCCTTATGTCAGCGCCTTGACTTTCTGCTCAACCAGCGACTTCACACCGAAGGTCGCTCGGCGAAGTCCTGCTGTGATCGTATCCTCCTCCTCCTCCTCCTCCTCCTCCTCCTCCTCCTCCTCCTCCTCCTCGTCTTCCTCCTCCTCCCCCTCCTCCTCCTCCTGCTCGTCCTCCTCCTCCTCCTCCTCCTCCTCCTCCTCCTCCTCCTCCTCTCCCCCCCCCACCTCCTCCTCCTCCTCCTCCTCCTCCGATTTGCGCTGGGGGGCTCGCGCGGGGGGAGCCCTGCGCCGACGCCCCGCGCCCCCCCCCCCTCGCTCGCATGCTCGAGCCCCCCGCTTGGGGCGGAGGCCACGGCGCCCCTCTGGGCGCCTCTGGCCTCCGGGGGCCCCGGGGCGCGGCAAGACGGACCGCCTGCCGACGTGCGAGGGAGGAGGAGGAGGAGGAGGAGGAGGAGAGGAGGAGGAGGAGGTGAGGAGGAGGAGGGAGGAGGAGGAGGAGGAGGAGGAGAGGAGGAGGAGGAGGAGGAGGAGGAGGAGGATGAGGAGGAGGAGGGGAGGAGGAGGAGGAGGAGGAGGAGGAGGAGGAGGAGGAGGAGGAGGAGGAGAGGAGGAGGAGAAGAGGAGGAGGAGGAGGAGGAGGAGGAGGAGGAGGACGGGGGGGGCGCCTCGGCGGCACGCCCTCGGGGGCGCGCAGGGGGGCCGCCCCGTGGAGGGGGGCAGGTGCCTCTGGGAGCCCACGCCGCGAGGATAGGCACGGGTCGGCGGCACTGCGGGGAGGCGACGGCGGAGGTCCGGGGATGCGGGCAGGCCCGCCCGCAGAGCGGAGCCCTCGCAGCCCTGCAGGAGCCTCGGGCCGAGGCGGCGCGGAGTCACGTCTGCGCCTCCTCCTCCTGCCGAGGCTTGCCCTCGAGGGTCGAGGGCGGAGGGCTCGGGGACTTGCGTTCGAGGCCGTCGGGCGCGCCTGCCCCCTGCTGCCCATCCGGTGGCCTCTGGAAGCCTCTGGGCCCAGGACGCGGGCCCGAAGCAAAACTTGAGGCCTCCTCCAACGCCACACTCTCGTGCACGCCCCGCTGCTCGAGTTTTGGGTCCCCCCCGCTGCCGCTGCTACTCTTCTTCCCGGAGCGCACCAGCAACAGCCTCCGACACCCCAGTCCGCACCCCCTGGAGACCCTAGCCATTCCTCTTTCCTGGAGGGCCCGATAGGTCGCATAAGCTCTACCAAGTACTCATGTCCCCTCCTCCTGCTTCTCCTCTCCCTACTCCCTCCCCTCTCTCCTCCTGCTCCTCCTCCACCATCATCCGCATATATCTGATTCTCGACGCTGGGGCGAGAGCCACCCCGCCAACACCCGATGAGGCGACACAGACAGACAGAGTAAACGCAGTGGCGGCGCGAACAAGACAGGGCGGAGCCGCGTCCTAAGCACTGCCAGCTGACCGCTGACCATAAGGTCGCCTAGCCCCGCACAGTGTGATCGTTCCCAAGTCGGGGCACTGTCACAGTTCTGCCGCTCACTCGCAGCTGCCAGGCGCGATGCCAAAGTGCGCATGCAAAAATGAGATCTGAAATCAGCTGATCCCTCCGTCTAGCATGAAACAAACGGGTTCTGAGGGAATCAGGTACTGGACCTCGGGGCCTTCCCCAGGACCACTTCTCCATCACGAATACATGTCAGGCAGACCCGAGGCCCGTGTGGGGCCCCGGTAGCACCCAAATGGCCGAAAACCTCCAGGATCCGTTTGACTCGAGCACCGCTGGTACCGGCTTTCTTCATGGCGACGAGGTGCGGGCCACGCGTGCGCCTCCACAGGCGCAAGAGCGCCAGCACTCCTGCGCGCAGCGGGGCCCACAGCAGGAGAGGGGCGGCTCCGCCGCCTCTTAGCCAAACCGTGATCATGCGTGTCGTGCGGCCGACTCTGGAGGGGCCCTGGGACACACAAATGAATACACACAAATAACAGGATTCCCCATACTTTCCCATACGTTCTGGGTTTTTGTATTCCCCCCCACTGCCCATATTTTCCCGCATGTTCCGGGGAATCGACGATTAATTGTGGCTGTGTTTTTTTCCCCTCCTGACACTCCTGGGTTGCTCTCCTCCGCCGCCTCCTCCTCCGCCTCGCCCCGCCGCCTCCTCCTCCTCCGCCTCGCCCCGCCGCCTGTGACCAGGCCTCAAACTGGTAATCACCGTGAGCGCGCGCGGCGTGCGGCCCACGACCCTCGGCTGCCCTCCTCCTCCTCCTCCTCCTCCTCCTCCTCCTCCTCCTCCTCCTCCTCCTCCTCCTGTTTGTCCTCCTCCTCCTCCTCCTTTTCCTCCTCCTCCTCCTCCTTCTTCCTCCTCCTCCTACTATTTGTCCTCCTCCTCCTCCTTTTCCTCCTCCTCCTCCTCCTCCTCCTCCTCCTCCTCCTCCTTTTTCCTGCTCCTCCTCCTCCTCCTGACGAGGTGACGAGCCGAAGGCGCAAGAGCCCGTCGGACGCCGCCCCCTCCCTAAACGAAGAGCCAAGGACTCCTGGAGCGTTCGCTCCAAAGAGTCGCCGGCTGGTGGGAGGTGCATATGAAACAATGCAAGACATCGACAGTGGCAGACACTCGAAAGAGAGGTGGCCCTCCTCGCCTTCCCCCTCCTCCTCCTCCTCCTCCTCCTCCTCGTCCTCCTCCTCCTCCTTCTCCCTCCTCCTCCTCCTCCTCCTTCTCCTCCTCCTCCTCCTCCTCCTCCTCCTCCTCCTCCTTTTCTTCCTCCTCCTCCTCCTCCTCATCCTCATACTCATCCTCATCCTCATCCTCATCCTCCTCCTCCTCCATCATCATCATCCTCATCATCTTCATCTTCATCTTCATCTTCATCATCATCATCATCAGCATCATCATCATCAGCATCATCATCAGCATCAGCATCAGCATCAGCATCATCATCATCATCATCATCATCATCATCATCATCATCATCATCATCAGCAGCATCATCATCATCATGATCAGCATCAGCATCAGCATCAGCATCAGCATCAGCATCATCATCAGCATCAGCATCAGCATCAGCATCATCATCATCATCATCATCATCATCATCATCATCATCATCATCATCATCATCATCATCATCATCATCATCATCATCATCATCATCATCATCCCTTCAGGGCCAGGCGCTGCTTCCCTCGGGGCAACGGCTCCGGGCCCCCCCGGGCTTCTCTGGGGGCCCGTTCTTCATCTGAGTCGGTCTTTGACGGCATCAGGGCCCAAGGGGGTCCCCGGAGGGCCAGAAACGCTGAAAGACCTCAAGGCCAATTTCCCTCGGGGCACCCTTGGTGAATTCTTCCTCTTTCTCCGCCTCCGCCCCTCCGCCTCCGCCTCCGCCTCCTCCTCCTCCTCCTCCTCCTCCTTTCCTTGTCCTTACAGATAACTCCTTCCTGTCGCACCCCGAGGGCCAATCGAAGGGGCGGGGAGGGCGTTTCGCCGGAGACTTCCTCACAACGTGTGATCCTGAAGCTTGCCAGCTGCAACAATTCCACCTCCAGCAAAACGTCGAGCCCGTTCTTTCGACCCGCCTCGGGGTGCGACAGGGAGGAGAGGATAGGGAGGAGGAGGAGGAGGAGGAGGAGTAGGACGATGAGAAAATAAAGGTGGAGGAGGAGGAGGAGGAGGATGGGAGGAGGAGGAGGAGGAGGAGGAGGAGGAGGAGGAGGATGGAGGAGCGCCAGCCCTGGCGCCGCGCCCAGTCGCTGCAAAAGCAGCTGCAGGAGCTTCCCGGGTGGAGGGCGGCCAGGAGCTTCACGGAGGGGGGAGGGGGAGGAGGGGGAGGAGGGGGAGGAGGGGGAGGAGGGGGAGGAGGAGGAGGAGGAGGAGGAGGAGAAGGAGGAGGAGGATCCCCTGCGCACACATTCGCTTTTGGGACGCCGTCGTAAGAGCTCCACGGGTGGAGGGCGATGTTTGTTTTCTGTCAGGCTCTCGCCTTTTAGCGCCGCGCGCAGTCGTCTGCAAAGTCCGCACAGGGTTTCACGGGTGGTGGGCGGCTCCTTTCCAGCATGTGGCTCTCGCCTCAGCGCCGCTCCTGCTCGTCCCCATGGTTTGCAGGAGTTGCAAGGGCTCGCGTGGCGAACGTCCCACAAATGGCATTTGGGCATGATGTCGGAATGCAGGAATCACGTTGGCTCGCGGTATTGGAGTCCCAAGAATGGTGTTCTGGCACGATTCAGGATCGTCTAGACGCAAGCAACAGTAACAGTGATTCGCGGCGTTTTAGTCCCAGAAGTGTCGTTCTGGCACAGTTGCGGATTTTCAAACGGTTGTCCTCCGACGGACATTTCCCTCAGTGAAAAAGAAACTGTTTACGAGCC